AAAAAAAAAAAAAAAAAAAAAAAAAAAAAAAAAAAAAGCTTTTGTTGTTTCTCCAGGAACTCTTTCTTGTTCCTTAAATTTTTCATTTATAATAATGAAAATTGTCCATACTGTCTCTTCGCCTTTGAACCCTAAGTATTTAGGTCCCTTCCCGTTTCTAAGTCACAAGCACCCAAAGGGTAGGGCACTCTTCTTCCTCCCACCATTCCACAACTTTGAGCACGCAGCGTTTGCTAGCTGCTGAGAGTGCTGAGTTCAACAGTTTCTTTTCTAACAGCCATCCAGGCTTACTCGTAAACAAATTACAACAGAGGCAAAAACAGAAGTGAAGACAGAAAGAAATCAGAAGACGAATAAACCCTTGAGCAGTAGAGGACATTCTGGGGTGCATTTCCGAATTCCTCAAAAGGCCTCAACAGATACCTGTTGAATGTATTTCCGAATGAATACAGGAAGCAGAGGATCTAGCTCCAGGAAAGATCAGCAGCTTTGGAAGTGGCCTTCCAACCGCAACATGCGAACACCCAAACACTCACTTCCACCCCAGAACATCACTTTGGAGGACCATACCTGTACTGCCAGCCTTTCGTACTGCCACCGCGGCTGCTGTTACTGCTGCTACTGCTGATGGCACCCCCACAGCTGCTGTTGCTGCTGTTCTTGTTCGGGGTCACCGCGGTGGCCAGGCCCTCCAGCTTCCCTTCACTCTCCGAGGCTTTCAGGACTGGTGCCGGCTCACCTCCCTGCATCTTAACTCCAAAGTTCATCTGCCCTTCTCGGGCGAGAGGAATCTCCTGCAGAGGGCTCTTAGAGGTACTTTCCCCGTTTCTTTCTCTCTTGCTTTTTTTTTTTTTTTTTTTTTTACTCTGAATGTGATCTCAGACCGCGGCTAGAGTGGAAACCGTCAGCGGTCCAGAAAACGAGGACACGCATTTCCACTTCGGTTCAAACTTTTAAAGAGCACAGGTCCCCTTCGGATAGCTGCCTCTCCCGAGCAAGAACAAGGAGGACAGATCACCCCGCCAGAGGGCTCGTTGCCACACTCGGAGGAGCAGCCGGGCGGCGCGGGCGAGGTCGCGGATCCTCCGGCCGGGAACGCGGGGGCAAGGACGGGAGACCACAGCCGAGGAGCCCCGGAGCCCGCGGCCTGACCTCGGGGCTCGGGAGGCGAGCCGGTCGCGCTGCCTCTTCTCCTCCGCCGGGTCTTCAGAAAAAAGGACCCGTCCAGCCAGTTCGGCGGTTCCCGCCGCAGCCCCAGACTGAACCGGGGCGGTCGCGCGCAGCCCGCCGAGGGTCTGGCAGACGCCGCCGGCTCCGAGGCCGCTTCAGCGGGGGTCGAAGGTGAGAGGTTCGCGGCGGCCTCCTCCGACACCCCTGGTCCTGACGCTCGGCGGACTTCACCGGAGCGGACCGGTCCCTGGAGCCGCCCCAGCCCTAAAAGTAAAAGCCAGGGCCCCGGCCGCCGCCCCACCCACAGCCGGTCACCCACCCGCCTGCTAGCTCTCCCGCCTTCCTTTCCGGTGTCGTGTGAGCTCATTTCCGCTAGAGCTGAAGCGCCGGCGCCATCTTTGATTGGGGCAGCCGAGCCTGAAAGGAGGCGGTGTGACAGGGAGTCTTTAGGGCGAAGGAGCTGGAGGACTAAGCAGTAGGGAAAGGCTCTGGGAGGGAGAGAAACAAGGGAATGAAATGGCCTTGCTAAACAACTCTTACACTCTCTTGTAGAGCCCCTTTCCGTGCCGTTTTAAGGGAACCTAAAATGAATGAATGAATGAATGAATGAATGAACGAAAGAAAGAAATTAAGAATTTACAGAGCAGCCGGGCGATGGTGGCGCACGCCTTTAATCCCAGCACTAGGGAGGCAGAGGCGGGCGGATCTCTGTGAGTTCGAGACCAGCCTGGTCTACAGAGCTAGTTCCAGGACAGGCTCCAAAGCCGCAGAGAAACCCTGTCTCGAAAAAAAAAATTTAAAGAGCAAAGGAATAAAACACCTGTTCGGTGATTTTGGAACAACAACAAAACAAAACATCAAATTGGACTAAGGTAAATCAGTCTTAGAAAATAAAAGGAGCTGGGCAGTGGTGATGCCTTTAACCCCAACACTCTGAAGGCAGGCGGAGCTCTGTGAGTTCAAGGCCAAGGCTACACTGAGAAATTCTGTCTCGAAAAACCAAAATAAATAAATTAAAAAAAATACCCACTCCACCACCACCCCCCCAAAAAAGGAAATTGTCTTGGAAATTAGAGATCTTGGTGATGGAGGAAAAAATTTAAATAGTGAGATTGATGCTATAAAGGATTTAACAATAAACTTGCAAAAGAAATGTTAAGTTATACAAAGCAGAGTTTAGCTAAAGGAGAGCTGCCTCCAATACTACTGAAAGAAAAGTAGTGTACAATCAGGCTTGCTGCAAACCTTAAGGAAGAAATTGTGCCATAATTAAAGCTCAGGGTCGCCAAGAAAGTTTATTTGCTGAGCTGACCTCCAGTTAGACTCCAACTCTGTAACAAAGGGAGACAACCCTCACTTACAACCAGCCATTAGGTCCATCCCCTTATCAAAGCATGGCCCTACGAGACCACTCAAGGGGGCAGAGCAGGGCCACAACCATTCACAAGGCCTGACCTGCCATTGACTCTGTCTCTTCATAGGAAAAGTGTAATTCTGCCAGGTGGGCAAGGTGAACCTGGGTGACAACTATTTGAAAAGAACATGGGTGTAGTGTACTTGTTTTGTTTTTGTAGACAGTTTCTCCATGTCCTGGCTGCCCTGGAACTCTCTTTGTAGACCAGGCTGGGCCTATGAACTCACAGAGATCTGCCTGCCTCTGCCTCCCGAGTGCTGGGATTAAAGGTGTGCACCCCCACCACCTGGTTGTATTACATTCTTTTATGTTGCATTTGTTTAACTCTGTGAAGCTGTGTTATTTTACCTGCCTAAACACTGAATGGACTAATAAAGAGCTGAATGGCCAATAGCTGGGCAGGAGAGAGAAATAAACAGAGCTGGTGGGCAGAGAGGATAAATAGACGAGGGAAGGAGGAGAAAAGAAGGAAACAGGATGAGGGGCCAACCACCAGCCACACAGCCACGGAATAAGAAGCAAGAAAAGATATATAGAATCAAGAAAGGTAAAAGTGCAGGGTGGTGGTGGTGCACGCCTTTAATCCCAGCACTTGGGAGGCAGAGGCGGGTGATCTCTGTGAGTTCAAGCCCAGTCTGGTCTACAAGAGCTAGTTCCAGGACAGGCTCCAAAGCTAGAGAAACCCTGTCTCGAAAAAACAGAACAAAACAAAAAACAAACAAATAAGCCCAGAGGCAAAAAGTAGATGGGATAATTTAAGAAAAGCTGGCTAGAAATAAGCCAAGCTAAGGCCCGGCATTCATAAGAAAGAATGTCTCCCGAGTGCTGGGATTAAAGGCAAGCGCCACCACCGCCCAGCACTCAGGAGGCAGAGGCAGGTGGATCTCTGTGAGTTCGAGGTCAGCCTGGTCTACAAGAGCTAATTCCAGGACAGGAACCGAAAGCCACGGAGAAACCTTGTCTCGAAAATAAAAAAAAAAAAAAAAAAAAAGGTCTCCATGTATTTTCCGTGTACTTTTTGGCAGTTGGGTGGTGGGCCCCCAAAGAACAAGAGTTAAAAAAAAAAAAAAACAAGAACAACTTCAGCCTGTGTGGACTGCATGGCCTATGGTATGTTTGTTAGTAGAATCTTCTACTCAAGACCAGCTCCTCTTTGAGCAGGAGTCAGGGGTGCACTATTATTAAGGAGCGTTTTCTTTTATTATCCTCTGAGTGTGTGAAGTGATACACACCAGGAAGAAGATACTAATTGTATGACATTGTTGTAGAGTTCATTTATATCACTGTTATAACACCATACTAATTCAGCAACATTGGTAGTCTTCTGGGCTGCAGGCCCTCTTTAAAATCTTTCACCCTACTTAAACCTTGATTTTGTGTCTACACAACAAGAGTGGCCGGGCAATGTTGGCACACGCCTTTAATCCCAGCACTAGGGAGGCAGAGGCAGGCGGATCTCTGTGAGTTCGAGACCAGCCTGGTCTACAGAGCTAGTTCCAGGACAGGCTCCAAAGCCACAGAGAAACCCTGTCTCGAAAAACCTAAAAAAAAAAAAAAACCACAAGAGTGACTGTGTTAATCCCACCATCGAGAATAAGACTACTACCAATAAGAGAATAAGATTTGTGCCAAATTTGAAGCAAGCTTGATTTTTATTGGGGTGCATCCAAGAGTAGGCCAGCGAATTTCCCATCAAGTCCAACCAGGGTCCAAACATACATCCTGACCGTTTTCCTGCTTCTGAACCTCCCCCCACAGGTGATCAAGCATATCCGGTGGAGATGGGTCAAACAAATCTGTTTAGGGAAGTGAAAACCTCCTTGTTAACCCCATAAACAATCTCCTCCAACATTTCAGGAACTCTCTGTCCTTGAGCAAGAGGCTTGCAGACTAGAGGCATTTTTGTTTCTTGAATCTCCTAGACATTTGGCTTCCACAATTATTTCTATTTTTACAGTCCTTATTAAATATAAACTCTTAATTCCCGACAAGACCAATGAATTGAACGTATACCGTGTTAATCCCACTGGTCAAGAATAAGCCACTACCACACTGTAAAGCCAAATTTGAAGCAAGCTTTAATTAAATATGGGTCAGTTGGATGGGCTCTAGCCAGGTTCATTTCTGAGATCCCAGAAAAATGACCACAAGTCATGCCTTGCAGAGGCTTAAAAAGGCAACCCCACAAGGTCCAATCAGGAGGAAGCATATATCCTGATGCATTTCCTGCCTACGTGTTTCCTGTCCCCCAATATCCATTCTCTCCCCACCCCTCATCTACCCTCCCACCCACATGTGATCAAGCATAAGTGAAGGTGCAGATGGGTCAAACAAGCTTGTTTAGGGCAGTGGAAACATGAAGAGCCTGCAGCATTTGACTCTGGTTCTCACGAAAGTGCTAGGCAGCCTGCAGTGGAGGCCCATGTATTTTGCTTATTGGATTGTTGTTTTCAGGACAGGATATCTCTGTGTAACAGCTCTGACTGTCCTGCAACTGACTTTGTAGACCAGGCTGGCCTCCCTCACAGAGATCTGCCTGCATGAGTGCTGGGATTACAAAGATGTATCCACCATACCTGGCTAACAAAAATTCTATTTATTTTGCTGAGGGTCATCACACAGGTTTACACTCTAAGTTCCTAACTTTGTTCCTAACCATATCTCCCCAAGGCTGCTAAGCTGTGTGGTGTGTCTTAGCCTGAGATAGGGTAGTCCCTGGTTGTAAGGCCAGGATACCCAAGAGACTCTCCAACCCCAGGGCAGATTAAGGTGGTGTCTCTTCAACGTCTGCAGCAGTCCTGAAGAGGTGCAGAGCATAAGTACTGTGTCAAATGGGCACCATGGAGTTCTCTGCATACGTAGTGTGTCTGGTTATCTTGAGTGAAAGACAACGCTGGGTTCTGGTTATCAGTACAGCCTTGGGTGTAGTGGGGTTCCCAACTAATCTACTTCTCTATGTCTAAAAGGCATTTTTGACTATGACCAGCACATGGGGCAACACAGAAGTAACCTCCCACAACTAAAATAAGATAAATAAAAGAATTTGGAGGATGAAACTGTAAATCAGTGAGAAGAATTGAGGGAACTGACTTAGAGCAAGGAAAGCATAAATAAAGAGAAGTTTTGTAAGATGTCATTTAAAATGAGATGATAAAAGCCAAAGGTAAGGGAAGAGCAGTCTGTACTTATTCTGAGAAATGAGAGCCTGAAGCCTAGACCATGACAGGGAAAGTGAGATGAAATGAGAATAAAGAAAAGCGGAGGAATTTGGGTTTTGTCGTAAATATGACGGTGTTAGAGTAACAATAAAAAAAGAGCAGCAGGTTCTGGAATGGAAGGAACACATCACCTTTAAGGAGAAACAGCCTCACAGGTGGGAGAGGTGAGGGGCAGCCTCACAGGTGGGGAAGGTGAGGGGCAGCCTCACAGGTGGGGAAGGTGAGGGGCAGCCTCACAGCTGGGGGAGGTAAGGGGCAGCCTCACAGCTGGAGGAGGTGAGAGGCAACCTCACGGCTGGAGGAGGTGATGGGCAGCCTCACAGTTAGGAGAAGTGAGAGGCAGTCTCACAGCTGAGTGTTGACTGAGCTTTTGTCCTACCTGGGCCTTCAGTCGTTCAGTCCCATAGAAATACACAGAGGTCTACATTAATGATAAACTGATTGGCCTAGTAGCTCAGGTGTCTTATTAAATCTTATAACTTATATTAGCCCATAATTCTTGTCTGTGTTAGCCATGTGGCTTGGTACCTTTTTGGGCAAGGCAGTCACATGTTGCTTGCTCTGTGTCCGGCTTCCTCTCTGTCTGGGTGACAGACTGCAGACTGAAACTTCCCTCTTCCCAGAATTCTTGTTGCCCCGCCTATACTTCCTTCCTGGTCGCTGTCACCCCATCTATACTTCCTGCCTGGCTACTGGCCAATCAGCATTTTATTAAAATAATACAAGTGACAGGATCATTGTCCCACAGCACTGAAATCTCAGCCAACAAATGGTGCCCAACATGTGGACAACTGCATCCACAGAAAGCCTGAGAGAACCTGGGAAGTAATTCTAGACAGAAAAGAATAGAATTAAGCACGTATTATCTCAGGTGGGCTCTGTTTGCTAGAGGCAATGCGTCTCATTTAAGAGAAGCTTCCTGACTCAGCTTTAGCTGAAAAAAACTTTGCAGCCCTTTTAAGAGGCTCTGCCACAAAACACTTACATGGTGTTTATAAATAGCCTATAGCATGGACCTTGAAACACCATAGAGTTGTGGCAATAAACTCAGCTCTGGTCAACATTCCTCCAGATTCTCAGAAATCTAAGGAATGGGGTGGATCTAGCTGTCAAAGACACGACTTTAATCTTAGCCATATCACTTAGCAAATTAAAGATTCATGTGATCAGAAAAAGAGATATACAGTAATGTTAGATTCAGATGAAGAAAACCTCTAAATGGTTTACAGTGTGTTTAAAATATATTTAGGCTTGGGAGAAAAAAGGATAAAGTCCTTAAAATAAAAAAGAAAGAATAGTTGGGTGTGGTGACACACACCTATAATCCCAACACTTGGGAGACAGAGGCAGGCTGATCTCTGTGAGTTCAAGGACTTTGGTATACAAAGTGAGTTCTAGGACAGCCAAAGATATACAAGGAAACTTCGTCTCAAAAAGCCAAAAATTAAAAATAAAAATAAGAGAAATAGAGTTTAAAATAAAGCCATGTAAAGATGAAAAACACACAGAGAGTGTGGATACTGTATATTATTGTGTTGTCTTTGAATTGTATGACTGCTGAGGAAGGAGCAAAAATTGCTAAAAGTTATTTGATTATAAATGCTGCTGCATTAATCCAACATATATATTTTGAAAATACTTTGACTTCAAAATTGAAGTCAAAAGGTACATTACTTTGGAGAAGAGTTTTGCTTTTCTTTCCACAGGAAATGAGAGGCTGTGGATTCATTCCAGGTTAAGAATAAACAGGTTTGGTCAAGAAAGACCCCCTGAGAAATCTCTGACAGGAGCAGATGGCGCAGATGGCCCAGTTCTACATCCAGAGCAGATACAAGACTGCTGGCTGACACTTTGTCCTTTACTCTTGGTGTCCCTGGTGAACAGTCTAGTTTGCACTAAAGTACAGCGGACACCTGGTGTGGTATACTCAGATGACAAGAGTTGAGGCAGAGGAAGCAGGAAAGGGAAGCCTGCTTGAGCTGCAGCCTGTGTGGCCCTCTGAGCACACTGTGGGGCTACAGCTCTGTTCAGCACCCTCCAGTGGGGAGTTCCAGCTCCTTCCTTTGGCTCCCTCTGCCTCTCTAGTTCCTTGGCCACCCCACCTCTGCGCCTCTCCAAGGCTGCTCCCTACTTCCCTGGCCTCTCCACTCTCAACCCCACATTCCTTAAGTTCAGCAGACTTAACCAGGTTGAGCTGAGTTAGTGCCACATCCTCACCGATAAACCAGCACAGCTCTTACAGTGGACTGTAGGACTTAGGGCCTATGCTCTGTGCTCTGACTGGCTACTCAGGAGTCACAGCAGGGCCCATGAGGACAAGACACCCTACCACTAACACGTAGAGCAGCAGGGGTCCTTCTGGGAAGCTTTCCCACACCCTGCCACCACACCTACTCAACTGGGAACCACTTGCCTCCATCCCTCTGTTCTTACTGCAAAGCCCACGCTACAGGTACAGGGATTCTTGGGGTCTTTTCTCGCTGCTGTGTCCACAGTCCCCAAAGCTGTGCTGGCATACTGTACACACTGGGTGAAGAGTGGCTGAGTCAGGTGACCAGATCTGCCTGGAGGAGACACACCTGTGGATGGGCTGCTCATCCCACAGATGGCTAGAGGGAGGCACCTGGCTGTCCCTTTCCTGTAGCCCTTGTCACCAGAGAGTATCACACAAAGTGTCCTTTGTATGCTTATGACAAATATATTGTCCTTGTGTCCATCTGGTCAGGGCAAGCAAGGCAAAGGCCTATGTGTACCTGGGGTGTACACTCACCTTCAGGTTCCTCTCCAGTTGGCTCCTCCTCACTCTCCAGCCCCTAGTCCCAGTCGGAGTTGAAGTTCAGATAGTCACTTGCTGGCTTGGTCCTTGCTCTTGGGAGTTCAGTGTTCAGAGCATCATTTGCCCACATGGCCACCTGGGCCCTCTTCTGGTGAACTGACAGGAACTCCTGGAATTTGGCATCTTCCTTCAGCTGCGGCAGTCAGCCAGGGGGAGAGGCAGAGGCTCTCCAGCCCTCACCCTCTCAATGTTTGCAGCCCCCTCCTCCACCCACAGAACACTCACCTGCTCCAGGTCACTGGGCACCGTTTTCTTTTTGTCATCCTGAAAGCAGAAGGCAGACAGGGTCACAGCAATGCTGGAGGAGGGAAGACGAAGTGCATACCCACCTTCCAAAACCATCCAAAAGATACTTTCCACTGCCTCCCAGCCAGAGACCACCCTGCCAACACTGGGCACAGGGCTAGGGACACCGCCTACATACTTTTTTAGTGTCTGAGGGAATGGAGTCTTGTGATGACTGCCTGGGCTGGTTGGGCTTCTGGGCATGTTTGCTCCAGACTCGGGGTTTCGTTGGGTCTCCACCTGGATGGGACAAAGAGCTGGCTTCCACAGCTGCTGCGACACCCAGGCCCGTGTATGCTTTCTTCAGCTCCAGGAGCGTGGGTTTCCCAGAATGCAGTGGTTACTACTTGCTGAGCTCACTAAAGCGATTCACCCAAACTAGACATCGTCCTCCACAAAGTCATTCTGGCCAGGGCTCTGCCCCCCCCCCACACTCTCCAACAGGTGACCGGAAATGATGCTGTTCCCTCTGCTCACAGCAAAAGGTTAGGATAGAGATTGGGGGACCCAGGAAGCAGGGGACGACAGAGCAGAGACAGAATTTGGGGCACACGGGGATTGGGAGTCCACAGTCACCTCCTAGGCTAACAAAGGCTGTTGGGGAGGCAGCACCTGCATGGCACAGGGCGACAGCAAATGACGGCTGTCAGGGTGACGGTTGTCAGGGTGACGGCTGTCAGGGTGACGGTTGTCAGGGTGACGGCTGTCAGGGTGACGGTTGTCAGGGTGACGGTTGTCAGGGTGACGGTTGTCAGGGTGACGGCTGTCAGGGTGACGGTTGTCAGGGTGACGGCTGTCAGGGTGACGGCTGTTTACCATGAGGCAGGCTCAGTCACAGGAGAAAAGCCCGGGGTAACCGGGACAGCAGGATGACGACAGGAGTGCAGAAGAATGCCCCCTCTGCCCTGGCACCTCGGGGACACTCTCAGAGGCAGCTTTGGGAGGATTCTCCCATGAACCAACCCCAGACATTCCAAGCTGTTATCAGTTAGCAAACCACTTTATCCCTGTGATTGGGTCCTGTAAGCTTATTTGGCTCACAGGTCCCAATCACAGTCGATCATTCAGGGAAGCCAAGGCGGGAACTGAAGCAGAGACCATGGAGGAACTCTGCAGACTTACTGGCTCAGCTACTATATTTACGCAGCCAAGTGGTGACACCACCCACAATGGGCTAAGCCCTCCCACATCAATCACCCATCCATGTCTCACAGACTTGTCCACAGAGCAATCATATGGAAGCAATTCATCAACTGAAGTTTCCTCTTTCTAAGTGACTCCGATTTGTGTTAAGTTGACCAAAATTAACCACCACAGCAAGGAGGGGTCCTCTGAGTATCCATCTGGTCCCCTATCACCACATACACGCGCTGGTTTCCTCCTTTACCCGACACGGCAAGCAGTTACCGAATGCCTGCCTACCAGATGCCAGGGTCTGTGATCACGGCTGGGATGCTCCGTCTCCACTTAAGGAGAAACCACTGAAAGCCGTTACCATCACTCATGTTCTCAGGGTCACCTCCCCTCCTGTTTCGCCCAACAGCCTCGGGAGTGGGAGAGAGAACTGAGTGGACTCGTGGGGTCGACAACTACACAGAGGGGACCGGGGTCCGAGGCAGCAGGTGAGGGGCTAGCATCTACCTGGACCAGGATTGTCCGTTTAGGAGTCAGGCACCCATAAGGTAGCAATCAATGGTGATAATGATAATGACAACAGCCACTCTTCCCGCTTTTTAGGGTGGTCAGAAGGGGGTCCCCGTCCCATTGGGTTCGGACCTCCCCAGTCCTGCCTCAGACTTTAAGAATCACTCCATCCTTCCGCCTCATTTTCCGGAACCCCGCTTCCACTTCCAGACCCCTAACCAGCTCCTGCTCACCCCATTAGGGAGGTTCTTCATGATCAGTCGCGATGTGGCTCCCAGGTCCTCCAAGCTTCTGATTCACGGACCCCACCACTCCGACTTTCCACAACTTTAACTCCACCTCACCGGGCGCCGCCATATTCGGCGAATCACGTGCCCCCCGCCAGGTTCCGCCCGGAAGTGGGAGTGGCCTCAGTGGAGCTTCTCCACAGGGAAGCCACGCCCTCAAGAGGCGGGGGTGGGGGGGGAGGACTGAGCACATTCTGTGCAAGCACACTTTCTCCTCCGGAGATGACGATACCCGGTGAGGCCGGCAGGGGGCGCTTGTGCCCAAAATCTGTAGGATGACAGCTGAGAGAGTAGGGATTTTTGCTTAAGAAAAACTTTTTTTTTTCCCTGGTGGCGGTGCTCACACTGCACTAGGGAGGCAGAGGATAGGGGAGCTCGAAGCAAGTGTGATTTACAAAGAGAGTTCTCTGGTTGTTACACAGAAAAACCCTGTTCCAAAACAAAGAAACAAAAATCCAAAACAAAACCTTTTTACAAATTCATTTCTTTATTATGCATATATGTTTATATATGTATAGGTGTGTGTGTGTGCGTGCACATGTTCCAGGGTTCACATGTGATGGCCAGAGGTCGCAGTGATCAAAGTCAGATCATCGAGCTGCAAGCCCCTTAACGGACTGAGCCATCTCAGCAACCACCTTGCTTCCTTTTTAAGATAGAGAAACTGCCAGGCACTGACTCAATGACTGAGTATGTCCTGTGTATATTGCTATAGGGTGAGCGTTGGCCCTGTTTTGCAGGCAGGTGAATCAGGTGATTCAAGCCAAGTAGGTGCTAAGTAGAAAGACAGAGATTAGAATGCAGAGCTTCACAATGATTACCAACAGCCCATAACCTTACAGGCATCCCACTGCTCTCTGAAGAACCTTTTTAACCCCTCATCTGCCAGCCTCTGGGCTGAGTTCTTGGCCAGACTTGCCTCTGTGGGCTTTGTGCCTGCTGCAGTTAGATGGGTTTTATCCTAGGGCCCAAGGGCCAAAGACTATTCAGTTCTTAACCTGTTCCACTGTGTTTCAGAGCCTTCTCTGGACCTGCTCGTAGGCAAGGGAGGTTTTCGATGGAGAGCCCTGATTTCTCTACAAAGAGGGCACAATTTACTATCATTACCAGCAATACCTCAGCTGAACCCTCCATCTTCCCACAAAGCCTTTGCAATTTTATCTTAAAGACATCCACCAGGGGTTACGGTGGCACGTGCCTTTAATCCCAGCACTCAGGAGGCTGAGGCAGGCAGCAGGCAGATGTCTGTGAGTTTGAGACCGTGGGGTGAAGGAGCAGGGATGGTCGACTAGGGACTAGCTCCTAGAGAATGGTCACAAGGAAACCTCTAAGATACACCAGAAGATGGAAGCAAACCAAGTACAGTCTGTCATGTGCATTGTCCTTCAAGTGTAGGGGAGGGGTAATGGCATGGCAAAAGGGCACGCAATGTCTTCGTTGCCATGGCAACCTCACATGCAGCCAGCTCTGTCTCCTGGTTGTCCTCCCAGGGCACTGCCTAGCTCAGTGTCTTGTGCCCCTTAGCTCTCATCTTTGTCTCCACCTCACCACATCTCACTGCTTCTCCTCTGCACGGTGCGAGACCACACTTTGCCCTTTCCCCAGGGAAGTAATGATTCACCTCCCAGACCCTGTTTCCAAATAAGGCTCCCCATGTGGCTCGCAATGTTAGAGTTAGTAGGATCTCGATTTCTAAGTGTTTTCCAACCTTCCCTCCCGCCACACACACTTTTTTTGAGACTGGGTCTCTCTACATGGTGCTGGGTGTCCTAGAACTCATTATGTAGACCAGGCTGGCCTGAAACTCACAGAGATCTGCCTGCCTTTGCCTCCTGAGTGCTGGGATTAAAGATGTGTGCTGCCACCACCACCAGGTTAATATTCAACCTTTAACAATCACATTAGTCGTGGGGTGGTGGTGGTGCACACCTTTAATCATAATTTCACAGACACTAGTAAAAGACAGATATATAACAGGTCTGGGGTGGCTCAGTCAGTTTCTCAAACAAACAAACAAAGAGTTCTGGTGGTACACAGGTAAAAAAAAGTGTGCCTTACAGGATAAAGAGGGCCATCAGCAGAATCCAGGACTCCAGGGAGGCCATGTCCTATGAAAAATGCCTCAAGATTAAGATCAGTTGTCTAACTGAACAAATGTGACCTGCATAAACAGGAGCAGTGTCCTTCTGCAGCAGGACAGGGTAGTGTCCTACCCCGATGGGAGAGAGCCATCCTTGGGGATGTCACACTTGTAACGGATGGCTTGCCAGAACTGCTGAAGGGCTGCTGAGAATAAGGCTGTGACTGAGAAAGATGAGACCAGCCCTGCCCAGAAGAACTTTTGGCCACAATGGAAAGAAATGCTCTACACCTTCACTATCCAGAGTAGCAGCCACTAGCCTCGTGTGACTGGTGAGCATCTGGGTTCATAGCTGTGACTGAAGAACTGTGCCTAAAGGTTTTAGTTGATTAGCACGTGTATGTATGTAGCTAGCAGTCTCTTCTTTCCAGCTTCCACAGAGAGGCTGATGGGACTTCCTTATTTTTCTTCATTCCCCCCCCCCTTTTTGTTTTGTTTTGTTATGTTTTTTTGAGACAGGGTTTCTCTCTGTAGCAATCCTGGAAGTCCTAGAATTTGCTCTGTGGACCAGATTGGCTTTGAATTTAGAGATACAGCTTAAAGGATTAAAGGTGTGTGACCACCTGATGTAAGCCAGCCTTTTAATTCTCCTGATGGGCCTGCTACTGCCTAGAGGGCTTAGCTCAGAGTTCTTGAGGACCCTGAGGCAAAAGGTGTTCACTCAAATTCCTGTGGCCAGAACAGTATTGTCCCAGGGGCATAGTGGCTGGCCTCTGGAGTCTAAGAGTCCATATTTTGTAAATAACGTTTTCGGGTAAAGTTCTGCTAAATCTTTGAGATAGTTCTCATAATGGATAACCCTAAATTTCACAGCTTAGTCTACAGATGTGCACTACCATAGCTGGTTCCTTGGGGTGCTGGAGATGGACCCAGGGCTTCATGCATACCAGGCTACCCTCTACCAACTGAGCAACAGTCCAGAGGCTGGGAAGCCAAGAGCCTCCTCTTGAGAAGCAGCCATCAACCATTATGGCTTGGCACACCCACACCAGAGCCCCGGCCTTGGCACAGAGGACAGATAGAGCTGAGCTGAGGCCATCTGCACTGAATGAAAGCTGAGTGAGTAGCCTCTCCGGAATGATGTCCTGGTATGCAAGGGTCTGGAAACTGGAGTTCAGCCACTAGACAGCAACACCACTGCCGGGTGCCTGGCCTAGTCTTCAAACCATTATTATTATTATTATTATTATTATTATTATTATTATTATTATTATTTTGAAACATGATCTCAGCGCTAGTCTCAACCTCCCAAATGCTGGGATTAAAGCGTGAGTCACTATTCCTTGCTTTGGAACAAAGTTCTGGCAGAAGATATACAGAGACTGTCACCATGAGGCCAGAGAGAAAGGGATAGGTTGCCTAGTAACCACACCAATGTAGCCCTTCCAACACCTCAGAGCTACCGCCTAAGAAGAGAGGCTTGGTCCAGTGATTTGACCACAGGTAGTATTCAGACCTCCTTGGCCATAACTGTTGCCAAGGACACAGTGCTCAGGAGCAGAGGAAAGAAACACTCACCAGAAGACTCAGCACCTAAGGCCTCTGCTCCTTTATTGAAGACTTCTCCCACACCCCCAGGGAGAAACTCTTCAGAATAAGGCCCTAGTGGGACTCCGCCCACCTCGTGCAGAAATTGGGTCCTCTTAGGTGTCCACACACTGCCTTTTTAAAATTTTGTAAGTCCTAGGACCCTTTTCTTTTCACTTTCTGTGGGTGTGGCCGGCACAGCTATGCATCTATCCAGACCTGGATACCTGGCTCAGACTATCTTCTTTAATGGTTTTTTTTTTTTTTTTTTTTTTTTGGTTTTTCAAGACAGGGTTTCTCTGTGGCTTTGGAGCCTGTCCTGGAACTAGCTCTTGTAGACCAGGCTGGCCTCGAACTCACAGAGATCCACCTGTCTCTGCCTCCCAAGTGCTGGGATTAAAGGCGTGCGCCACCTGAGTTTATTAGTGTTTTGCCTGCATATGCGTGCACTGTGTTCCTGCCTGAGGCCTCCAGAGGTCAGTTCCCTTGGAACTGGAGTTACACGTGGCTGTGAGCCTCCATGTGAATGCTGGGCACTGAACACAGCTCCCCTGCAAGAGCAGCCAGTGCTCTTAACCACTGAGCCCTCTCTCCCATCCTGAGGCAGCTTTCTTACCACTCATGACTACTACCCAGGGGAAGCACCGCCCTTAGTGGGCTGCGCCTTCCCTCACCAGTTCGTAACCAAGAAAACGTCCCATACTTACTTGTCCACAAGCAATCTGATGGAATTTTCTCAGCTGAGGCTCGAAGAACCAGGACGGACAGGGTGTCCTCCGCAGCACAGGCTGGCCTTGGGGTTTCCAAGCCCCATCCCCAGCTTCCCACACACTTGGAAACAGGCTCACAGCACCACACCCAGCCCTCTAGGTATTCTTGCTGTGTCAAGTTAATTCCTTCTGGATTTAATCCTAGAGACCGATCTGTGCTGACTCCTCTTTCAGACGGTAAAAGGGAGAAGAGCTGCTCCTGGGAGCCCCTCACAGTGTGCCACGATCTGGCTCTGCCTTCTTTCTGAAGGGCGTGCCACAGCAGCTCCAGCAGGTTCTGTGTGACTCTGTACAAACTGTCCTGACCTGGGAGTATCCTGTGTGTCCCACAGTCCTTTCAAGGCCGTCCAGTCACATTGCCACCTCCCCATGGCCACCAGGTTCTCAGGGTAGGCTATGCAGTCCAGAATGCCGCTAACCTGCTGTGCCAGGGCGTGATTAGCTGCTGCTGACAACTGTGCCACCTCCCTTCAAGGCACCGCGCAGCGACTGTGGCAACCAAGGGCACTGCTCTCATCCACTCTACTTGCCTGGGCCAAGGGCCAGGGATTGGGGCTGTACTTCCCGCTTGCCCGACCTCTGATTTTGAATGAGGAATAAAGTTCCAGTCAAATGTTGTATGGTGGCTTGTACTTGTGACGCTTGTACAAGTGACACATTTTCTACCCCCAGCACCCTACTGTCCTGTGTGGTACTTACAACAACTCCCTTGAGTTATTCCTAGGATTTTCATTTAACAGACAAGAAAAAACTAAAGTTCAGAAATGAATGCTTTCCCCTCCTCCCCCGACTTGTTTGTGTACCTGTGGCCTAGCATGTCCAAGTAAGACAGAGAACTGGCCTAGCGCGTACGAGGCTGCAGGTAGAGCAGGGGTTCTACAGCCGGCTGGAGAAAGGATGTGAAAAATGTTCACTGGTCACCGGAACAACCAGCGTGTGGGTTGTTTTCAGAGTTTCCTCCCACAGCTATTTGTACAGACTCTACTTAACAAATACATCTCTAGTGTTCATTAGGTGCCTGGTTCTACTCTAAAGAATATTGCTAATGCTAGCCCAGCCAACACGGCTTACTCATAACTTAAGAGTTGAGCTATTTATGTATATGGTGTTTTGATTCATGTATGCCCGTGTATCATATGCATGCCCAGTGCCTGAGGAAGCCAAAAGAGGGTGTCAAGATCCCCTGGAACTGGAGTTACAAACAGCTGTGAGCTAACATGTATGTGTTGGGAATTGAACAGGGGTCCTCTCTTAACTGCTGAGCCATCTCTCCAGCCCCTGAGCTCTCTTTTTTTTTTTTTTTTTTTTTTTTTTTTTTTG